GAACCATTTTCGATAGCGGTCAGCCTACAATGTCAGCTAGCTCGGAAACATCCACAACGTCGGTCACTCAATACCACTATGCGGATTTCGTCGATCATTTTTGGCATAATCTTAGCAGCTCGTGTAGACTCGCTGATAATCCGCTACCCAAGAACTCACTGAGAACATTCGCATTTGATCACTATCAAGCATATAAGCTTTATAGGGCTGATTGTCTCAGGTATAACATAGTAATTGTTATCAATATATTACGAATCTAAATAACTTGTCGTCGATATTTTCGTAATAATAGAAACCATAATACGCGAGATATAATATTTAAAACCTGGACTCCGAGCCAAAGTTATTGACAAGCGGACCAGCACTTTTTGGGTATTACCTCGCTCTGACGGACAATAAATCTTCGATGCAAACTATTGTTAATCGGAAGGAATAATGGGAGAGGGATACCAGCACGTGCCAGTTCATTGCAGCGAACATTTCCTGAATGGGTTTGGCAATACAAAACCCAATGCTGTCATGCTGACAAATCGTTTTATAATACATTTTCTTCTCTTGGAGACGTCGCACTAAATTCAGCAAAAAATCAAGTCTATAGCAAGTGGCGTTCGTGTAGAGCAAACATTTCCCATGAGTCCAACACTATCTCTCTCTGTCTCTCTCTCTCTCCTTAAATGTATTATTATTCTTCTTTTCTTTAGTACTGCAAGTCAATGATGCCGGCTAAGGGGAAACATTGTTACACAAACTTAGGTAACTCTTGCTTAACTCTGTAAAGCAATTTTGCGGGCATTAACTTTGAACGTTCGTTATCTCATAATGTCATTTAGTGAAAGAATGAAAGAAAAAACAATAAAAAGCAAAAAAAATAAGAATACATTTGTATACATGTGCGTTACTTGTCATCTTTGTTAGAGCTTCCTCATCATAGAATAGTGTAAATAGTTGAAATTATTCTTTAACTAAAGGAAAACATTTTAAGCATCTTCAACATCGTTTTCCTTTTTAACATCCATACTATGTTACGCAGCGGTAGAGTAAAGAGAATAAATAAATCTCAGAACTACTCTTGGAATTTGCAAACAAACGATTAATTTTACACTAACTTTGAATGTTAACTTTTCTGGCTTGAATTAAATTGCTAACCAATTATTTTCTCGTAGCCATAAAGTCACGTAAGTAAATGATTGAAAACATAAGAATGTTTGCTTGTAAGTTTTTTAAAAAAATTAAGATTTTTTTTTAACTTATATTGAAGGTATTGTCAAAATTTCACGGCCACAAATACGCATAGTCTCCTACAATTTATGTATGTATGTATGTATGTATGTATGTATGTATGTATATATGTCCTTGAAATTCGAAAAGCAATTCGAAATGTGAAAATTTCTGATTAGAAGAACTCTTCTGGCAATAAGTTGTTTGTTTAAACATATTTTCGGAGTGATATACTAAAAAATAAAGAAGTATGCAATCTATTTACTCAGAACCATTGAAAGAAGAAGATGACTCTAAGCAAGCAGGAGAACGTTAAGTTAGCATTAAATATGTCAAATGAAGCAAAGTATTAAAGTGAATAGTAAATATAAAGTTATCAATGTGTAAAATGATTGCAAGTGTGAACAATTGGATTAAGTAACTAATTAGTCAACAAATTTATGTAACTAATGAACGCAATAACAGGCCAATGAAGATGTGTATGATAATAAGTGTTAATAAAATGCAAATGAAAGCCATCTCCTTGCCACGATAAACGAGACATATCTCGTCAAAGGATTGTCACAGATTCATTGATTAATAACATAGCACGCACCAATGATCACAAGATGCTGACGGAATGTTAATTAGGCTGGAAATTTTAATGAAGACCAACAAAAGAAACCAACCAACCAACAAACAAAAGTACGTTTCTCAATCACAAATATAATCAATCGCAATACGCAATCATAACGGCGCTTGGACTCTCATGTGCTTCACATGCCGCTTCACGCCATCTCCGCCTTTCGTTATTATTATAGTCACATAGTTGACATAGGTTATAATTTAAAGAGCTAAAAATAAACAATTCTGCCGTGACGGTTAATTAGTCGTAACAGGGCAATAGGACAGTAAAATTACTGAAGATTTCAAAATGTTTTCACGATAAGGCTACGGTGTACGAACGCAGATGCACATCATTTTTCAATTCAAATCAATTGCGACGTTTAATAAGCAACAACAACAATACAAAACAACAACAACTGTTCGATGTTCTCCATATAAAACGCACACATTGGAAGGATCGTTGCTTGCTGAAGGGTGGTGGGCCGGTTGCGCGGATATTTCGCAAATCTTCGATCGCTTTGTGACACTTAATGAAATCCTATACCATATTTATAAATCTGTCCGTTAACGCGCGTATCCACAGTACGGATCATTGTTTTATGACCCGCAATAGCGTCGTAAATTAAATTTTAATCTATGCGTCACGAGTGGAAAAACTAGACTTAATGTAATGAGCCATAAAATGTCTACGTTGAGAAGATTGGACCAGATTGACAATCTGAGAAGGGAAAGAAAATATTTCTCTAATTATTGTCACCGGGAATTTATTCCTACAAATTTCTATCAGATATGTTCGCTTTTATTAGTACTAGTCTTGACTCGGACTTTTTAATTTTATTCTTCCTTCGTTAGATCATAGCAAGTACCATCTGCCAAATCTGATACTAGTGGCTAACGCAAGCGCTTTATCGTCCCGCTAGTTTGCTTGATTCTTATTCAACTAACAATTGTTTCGCTTATTAACAATAAATTCGATTGTTTTTGTTAGAAGATCTGGCTCTCAAATCGCTATTAATTATTCACTGTTATCTTCACTTACTCTCTTAACATTTTCTCCACTTGACGCTACAAATAAATTTCTTCTTCATATATGATCATCTCTTTGAAATTGTAGAAGCCATTGGATATTGCTCTACTATGTAAAATACGTAAATAGTCATTATTCGATTGTTAAAATAATTAGAAAATTTTTTATTAGCGATCAAGAAAACAATTCTGAGAACTCTGTGTGCATGCGTTTATTCTTTGACTGTTGTTGCATTTCTCTTAGGGCAGCACTCACTCTTGCTACTAATTTATTTCAATTTCGGTTGTGTGTTATTCTTCTCATAGATATAAATAATTGTAAACAAACCCAGAAGAAATCATTGTTATATGTTCTAGTTTGCAACTTTTATGGCATGTGATTGTTTTTTTAAGTTGTTTGCTTATAAAACCGAAAAACAAAAAAAAAAAATAAAGTGAAAATTATATGAAAATTTAATTTGAAAATGTTTCACGGAAAAATAAGTATTTTAGAAAAAAAAAAAAAAAAAAACTTAAATAACTGACTCATCCATACATCGCCAGATTTATTATTATGAACATTGTTAACACGAGATAATTTCTCCATATTTTGTTTTCTTATTAACTTTTTCGCATGAAAAATGCTATGAAAGCTTTTCAATTAATTTAGATAATTTAGATATAATTTATTTCACAATTTTCTGAGAATTATTATATACGTTTATTACATCGTATAACGCCATCCATATTATAGGTCACATTTAAAATTCTTCACAACTAACTAACAATTACTTAAAACAGATTCTTGCGTATTGGTCACAACTATATATCTGATATAAGTCTATGTTGTATAAGTATATAAGTGGTATAAGTCAACGATCTTCCTTGCCTTAGCAATCAGTTAAGCATAATTTCATCTATCTATAGCTTGGGCAAATTTCAAACTACTGAACGATACCTATGAAAATCTTTAAATGCTTTAGCTACTGTGGGCATGTTGGGGGGCCTATCCTTTTCAGGTTCATGTCGTATTTGCCGTTGCTAATCCATAATATCCATATGCCCATATACCCGATATTTGTGGCAATACATGATCCTTTATATATATAATCGGGGTTGACAATGGGAAATTTTGCAAAGATCATTCATTACAAGAGAAAATCACACTACAGTTTCCTGAAATATTAGCCATTGCCGCTATTAAATTCTAGTTACAAGGCGGATATCAGGGCCGTCATATCGGATATGGGCCTTAACGAGTTGCCCAGATTTAAGCTTAGAATATTAGATGTCCGCTATCTGATTGTAAAGTCGCCGCATGCCGGTTGCTTTTAATTTTTTAGCAACATATCCTTGATAAATTTATCTAACAAAGTTTGTGTGTTTAGTAAAACATCCAACTTTTCATCCCTTCGAACCAAGAGATAGACATGAAGTTATTATTAGTACTAACCATCCATGCAGAGTAAAATAGAATAAAAGAGAGTAATATACAAGTCGTGTTATATAAGAGGTATCAGAGAAAGAAGTACATTCCAGATTTTTAATATGTCTCAAAATACATTTAAAGCTATCAGAAAATATACATAATGTGATATGATGTAACGAAGAGATCACAAGAAGTTGCATATGTCCCACCCTTGTTATATATGTAAAACACTTAACGCAACAGCTACGAAAAGTTTCAATCACCAGTTTTTTGATAATCGCTATCTGACCTAAAATCCCATTGCACTAAATAGCGAATGTGACTTAAAAAGAAAAAAGGGGATAAAGATTTCAGATGAAGTTTGTGTTTCTAGGTAAAATTTGGACGATGTAATCAGGATTTTGGAACACGACGAGCAACAGACGAGCAAATAGACGACCGTAAATCTATTCCGTTGCCCTTGCCGATGAAAAAGGTATACACCAGACGTCGGAATATGCGATTCCCGAAGGCATTTGCAATAATAGTTGTCTTTATAAAAATTCTCATTTCTCTTAATATTTGAACGCAGGGCAGAAAAAAAAAAAAAAAAAAATCTGATAAAAATTAAATTCGAAATTTACACAGCTGATTCAAAGCAACTCTGTCTTTCATCCAGCTGACATATATCGATAGTTTTACACGTATTTGGTGCAGGTTTACTGCAACCGTTTTATTCAAAATAATTTCGCTCAGAGGTTACCTTGTCATTGTCTTTAACAAAAATGTGGCAGCAATACTCCTAAAAGAAAGAAAAAAAAAATTAATTATTAATGGAAGTCTTGGCATGTCGATGTTATTTCTTATAAAGGCACTAATTCATCGAAAAGATTGCGGCACTTGTTTCCATACGAGTAAAAATTCTTTTAAAAAAGGGAGACATTGCTTTGTAATGCGATCTGTAAAATCAAGTCGTGGGAACTTATAAATTTTACAAAGAATCAATTCAGTAAATCAATGAATAAAATGGAAATGTGATAAGCGTGCCATCACAAAAGGGAGATGAGGCCAAATTACGAATAGGAAAAGGGCAGTGAAAGACAACTTTTTTTTACCTCTAAAGTAAGGTAGTAAAGTACAATTTGCGATTTATCGGTAACTGTACGCATTTGAGTAATTTCTGTTCAAATGCCAAGTTTCGAGCAAGTTTCATATAAGGGAAGTTCACAATGTAAAAATAATTATTTTTAGTGATGGCGGCGAAGTGATTGTTATTTTTATACAGATTGATTGATTTTTGAAAGGGTAATTAAACGAAATGTACAAGAAACAATGAAATGAAGGGAATGGGGACGAATATAAGCGTGGAGCCATATTGCGTTCATTTTGAATGCAATGGATTGCTAAGTAAGTAGCAAAGAAGATATATATTTTGTATGTACGTATAATGTTCCACAGATCTGTTCAAAGGTAAGAAGCTAACTGAATCGCATTTTCCAAGGTTAACTAACTCCTTCGACTTTCAGGAAATTTGAATTTAGTCTGAAGGATGAAAAGGTTTTGGAATTAGTTTTTCTCAAACAGAAGAGAAATCGCAACTCGACGTAATTCTATTTTTTTATTTATTTTTCAATCTGATGATTGAATCTTATGTAATATTTTTGGAAAATTTTTATTTCGCTGGTGCTTGGGGAACTCTTTGTAGGGTAATGGTGCGATAAGCGAAGCCATTAATAAAATAAATTGCTTTGCAGGAGGTGCCGCCTTTTTCTATTCTCAATCAACCCGTTTATGTATTTCAAGACACATATCTTTTTTCGCGTATGTAAATACTTGAATATTAACAAATATTTTAAAAATTTTCTCTCTTAAAACAAGTTTATTTTTTTTTTTTTTTTTTTTTTTTTTTTTTTTTTTGTATCATTTATTTTCTTACAGATTAACGTTCTTAATATTCAAAAGAAAAGCATTTAATTAAACGAAATGATTGTAAAGATTGTTTATAAAAAAAAAAATTGAACTATCTAAGTAAAACCTTTGTTTATATAATTTTTATTGCCTTTAATAAAAAATTTGTTTTTTCTTTGGCCGCGTCGCTGTTAATTCTTGCATTTTGGACAACATTTCATTTATTGAATGCTGTAACGATCAATAGCACTTTGCATTATGCGTACATATGTAATAAATATTCTATGGGAAAAAGTTCACTAATGCCTAAATATTTTAAATTTATTTATAGTGCGGTTGAGGGAAATTTTGTTTATTTTAGAGTTGTTTTTTTTTTTTTTTTGTGTAATAAAAGGTTTCTTAATATTTTAATTAGGAAATATTATTACAAATATTATGATTGTAGCAAAAATGTATTGAAAACAAACTATCTTTGAAAAACATTTGCATTTAATTAAGCGTAAAATCAATTATTTTTATTTTCAATAAATTGGAATAAATGCGTAGATAAATAATAAAACAAACTAAATACCGTAATAATGGCAGTTAAAAGAAATGAAATAAAATCGGTTACAAGGCAAATTAAGTATATAGCTCACCTTCAATATATAATATATATATATATATATACATATACAATAGTCAATGGGCGTGTCAGCTAATCGGCTGCATTGATTAGAGCGCAATCTGTTATATAATCTGCTTCAATCAAACGAGCCATCACTCCAACTACAACAAACTAAGGCAATTAAAATGAAACACTGACAGACTGCAGCAGATATATATATATATATATATATAAATATATTTTGTTTTTGGACCAACCACTCAAAGGAAGCTTCCTCTGCACGATGATGATCAGAAGGGATTATAGGAAATGCTTTCACCAAACATTACTCATTCATATGTGCAATACTTCGATTATTACACTTGCACTCGAAAAAATGCGCTTTGGTGGACAGGTCTCAAAGATAAGTTGTCCTTTCGGCACAGCACTCAACGACGAAAAATACTTTGAATGAGATATGTTTTACTATTCTCCTATAGATGAGGTAAGTAATTCTCTTTTCATTTGTATAGTAATACAATACATATACATAGTGCAGGCAATTTCCGTTAAATTATAATTTCAAAAATCACAATACAATATTTATAGGTTTACAGCAATTGGCGGCACTGCATACGCACAGTGTTTCGATATAAATTAAAAGGATTTTCATGTTGCGCATATATATATATTACCGGTCGGTAATTGTGGCCAAATACATTTGTAGAACGCTATATGAAACCATTGATAAGAAAACATTTAGGATCAGGATCAACGTGCTATCAAACCAAATTTGAGCTTGTAATCTTAAAATGGATGAAATATTATACAATTATTTTGAATAGATTTCGTAGCAGTTTCAACGATTCCAACAATTCCAATTACGGAAAGTGAAAAAAAAACTTGCAGAACGAGTGTATGTTAGATAAACCTCAACGTATGTTATATATAAATCTCAAATGATTGCCATATTTAAGCTGATCATGAGAATGATTCGTACACTGTGGGATTACAAGGACTTAAGGAATTTAATATACCTCTTGTGTGTAAGGAAAATAAACAACAAGTGCCGAGAAAACCTTAAGATCATATTAGAAATAATAAAGCCCGTCGCAATTGTTGTATTAACGCCCAAAATTATGCTATGGCATTGTTTATGTATACATATACATTAAAATATACTATAGCTGTGAAATTTCATGTGCATAAAAGTAAATGGAAAACACACAAAAGCAACAATGCAGTAAAAAAAAAAAATAAATAAATAAATTTTTTTTTAAGGATACTGTACGTTTTTATTGAAGAAGTCCTTGTTTTCCTTCAAGCCTTTTCTGCCATGAAACTAAACTTATGAGAAATATAACATGAAACTGTCGCTACCCTTTGCTCATGTTATTGAAAATGTAGTCGTGCTTTTCCTACACTCCTAATACATTTGTTTGCCAAGTAGACAAACAAGTTTTACTCAGCATAGTGGTCATGTTGAACCGCTACGGTTCGTCATGAACATATCAAAATTAGAAAACGTTTAGTTAGAACAATTAGATAAACACCTTGCCACCTTGCCACCTTTGCAAATCCAAAATATCATATTTTCTAAAATATGCATATGCACATCTGTGCAGTCGTCATAAACACAAGTTCTGGTCGGTGTAATTATCAGTAAATAATGAACGACCGCTATGGGCATCATACCCCACGGGACAACTGGATGGCCGTAGGCCACTAAAGATTTAGTTTGATTGCCGAGCGGCATGTAAATGGCATCTTAAAGAACTATCAGAAAAAAGATTGTGGCTCAGTTCCAACGAATACTTATGTGTAGCACTTGTTACGCGGCTCATATCATATAAGGAGTTTGGCATGCATTTATGTCTTATACGTGTTTTCCTTTCATCTGATATCGACATCAGTATCGCGTAAGGCGCAAAAGTCTAAGAACATTATTTTTGAAAGTCCCCTAAAAAACTGTATTAATATATATTTGAACTCTACTTGAACCTCCGGCGCTTATTTATTAGGCACGACATCTGGTATAACCAAGTTAAGTATGTTCTCAAAAGCAACGATATACAATCGTCAAAGTGAATGTAGATAGTCAGAAGGTCATTTATAGTGGCCGTCTCTACCAGCTCGTAAGGCAAGTCACGAATCAATTCCACTAGCGATGGTGTATAATATATTTTTAAGCTCTCAAAGCCATTTGCATTTTCATTCACGTTGTGCAGCAGTGGATCATTTTTAATGCTGCACTGAAAATACACTTAAACTTTAAAGTGCGCTTCACAACTCCACATTCAGATCAATACATTTATCGCTTTCCAAAAACATGGCTGATAACATAATAAATTATGGTTCTATCGATTTTTAAAATTACTTCAGTAAATCGAGCCAAATTATTAATAAAAAAAACATTTGAACTTAAACAGAAGCAGAAAGCCACTCTCATTTAAATATAATGCAATCCGATATCTTCTGCACAAGTATTTCCCCCGACTTGCAACCCCCATTATAGGCAACATATATTACTGCATCACTATTGCTTTTTAGGATTAAGTCAAGTCATTGCAAGAGGAAAATATCTACAGAATTCTTGCATTCACGTTTTCGTATAAAAAGATGTAAAAAAATGTTCTAATTAGAAGTGCTTACGAGACAAATAGCCAAAATTATCAGACAACGTTAATGATTCCCATGTGAAAATAATTCAAGTTTCGTTTTCGTCGCTAGCCAATACATGTCTCCGAACATCCATATGATCTATTTCCAAAGAGTCCAGTGTTTGGACAGGGGCATCCATAGAAAGAGAAGGGTCACGCAGACAGAGAGAGAGAGAATGGAATTGGGCGAGGAACATTTAGTGAATACAACAACAGTGCTGCTATTGCTTGTGATCCTCACAATCTACATAGAACTGATCGCCCTAAATGAGAATGTGAAGGATATTCAGATTTGCCTTAAATGAGTGTTAGTGGTTACCCTACAACATACAAAATAGTTCTTGCGGCTCATGTCTGGTGTATCGCGTTCACTAACGCGTTTACCTCTCTGCATTAAGCAGAAAAAAAAGCTCTTGTTACTTTTTTTTATTTTCATGCAAAGGCATACTTAGATGAAAGCCCGCGTATTGGAGGACCCTGAAAACATCACATGCTCTGATCCAACAAACTGAGCAAACTTGATATACTTTCCAAACATTTGATTATCATTATTGGGTTTCTCGTCCATAAGAAACTAGAAAATAATTGACTTTCTCTATATTTATATACAGCTTACTGTCCATGGTAACATATATTTGGTTCTAAATA